TGAGCTTATATTAATGGAACCCATTTTCATTGTCAATTTGGATTGAAATAATGACTACCTTGTTATTTTTATTTAGTAATAATTATATTTAATAAATTTTCATTATTTATTCCGTGTTATCAAAACTAAAAGGCTTTACTGTACAAAATGTACACTATCAAGATTGAGACTCCGAATATCCTGCATACGAAGACAGCCTTCCCTCCAACCTCAGTACGGTACAGCAAGTTTAAATCTGCCAAAGTAGATGCAAAAGTGCATTCCACGAAGACATTCATAATCACCTTTGTCTTTGAAATATTTAACGTTCTTAATTCTCCAAAGCCTAAAATTTTGTATAAATGCACGAATGAGTACTTGTTTTTGCAAAGCATACCTATACTGAAAAAATAATAATAAATAATAAATAAGTAATCAAACCTTTAGAGAGAAAGGTAAGGTGCGATCTCGAATTCGACAGCTCATGACATCAAGATATTCGAGATACATAATTTTACATCGTAATAATATTAATAAATAGACCACTTTTAAAAAGTTGATAAAAAAGTTTTTACCTTGTACGTAAACAGCTGATCCTATTATCAGCTATCAACTCACAAATACATAGGCTGACCTTAATTATCGGATATCGCTAAGTATTTCAGCAAAGAATCACGCGCTTTGAAATTGTCTAATATGACATTCTGCAAATTGTTAAAGAATGAACAATTAGATCATTAATTTGATTAATTTTATAATAATCAATCTTTGAATAATACGAATAATAATTGTGGCGGATTGAAATAAAATATTGTACAATGTAAAAAATATACAAGTCAATGAAAATAAAATTTTTGAGGTGCATTTTTTAGAGTTAGGTTAGAGGTTAGTTTAGAATTTTATAATAAACAAATGGCTTTAGAGGGTTAAATATTTTAATACTAACAATATGACAAAAAGATTGTTAATGGTAACTTAACAGGATAAAAATATTTTAATTATGATTTAATTATATTCTTATTATACTAGGCTAATGCGTAGCATTGTGAGGCCGGAGCGAAAATATTTTAAAATTTAAGTTTTTACAGTTTTAAATAAAACAATATATTTAATTTTAAACTAGTATTATTTTTTTTTAAGTTATTACATTTTTTTAAAAATATTCTTTTATTTAATTAAATTAATTTTTAAAGAGAATTGCTAATCTTGTAGTTAGTAGTGCTATATCTCAAAAATGTACTAAGTAAACAGTATTAAGTGCTCTAAGTAAAAATGTTCAGGACCCATGAAAACCTTATGAGAACTAAGATCGGGACCTTATATTAGCTCTATATCATATTATATAGAAAAAATAATTATATATAAAAAAAAAAAAAATTCTAACCTAACAAAAAAAATAAATAGGGGCGGTAATTTACCGGTGGTTAAATGTAGTTATCCGACAACTCATATGATCATGAAAAACTTTCTTTCTGTTATTTTTTTTCATGTGTTACGATGTAATTATGTTTTTCCAATATTCAAAAAAAAAAAACTCAGCGAGTGACTCCCTACCAATCATGACAATAAATTGTCGGATAACACCATTATTGGGCAAAAATTTGCGAATAACGGCAATTTGTCCGGTTGAGCCAAATTGCCGTTATTCGCAAATTTTTGCCAATAATGTATACTTATTTTCATTTTTAAATTAATATTTTAACTTACAATATTTATATCTACTATACCGATTTAACTATTATGTTTATACCTAAATCTAATTATTATGTTACATCACGAACTATTGTGCCTATACTCAAATCTAACTACTATGCTATGTCTCAAATCAACTATTATGTATTCTAAGCCTAACTATTATAATATAACTATTGTACTATATTCAAATCTAACTATTGTACTATACCTAAATTTAACTATTGTGCTATACTATCGGTGCTATGTTTTGAATCTAATTATGATGTTACACCCAAATCTAATCGTTATGCTTTTTCACTTCTATGTATTATCTGGTTCAAATTTCTAGCAATCTAGTAAAAGATTGAAATTATATTAACGACATGTTGAGCAATGTTGATCTTTGCGTTGTTCCCTATTTAAGAATTTATATATAAATTAAACTTATTCTAATTTCGTGCTATTTCATGATAATTTGTACTAAAATTTTCGTTTTTAAAGTAGAAGAACAAGTAGCATAAGAAAGAAATAATATCAGGCTAAAATATTTACTTTGTTGTATATTTTCTCTCTCAAAACATATGCGAATAACTTTCGGATACTACAACAATAAAGTTCTTTAGCGGCTTATTATTTTCTAAAGACACGATAAAACTGAGTTCTCGCTGAATAAGTTTTTATTTATTAAATTAGTTATTTTATTTTATTTTTAACTTTTCTTATTTGAATTTTTTTAATTCTTATTTATTTAATATCCATTTCTTTCGTTTAATACTTCGAGATCCCATTATTAATTCAATATCTCTTTCTATTTAAATGAACTCAAATTATTTATCTTATTATTTCCACTTGAGTTTGTGACATATCGGCGGGTTTGCGGAATGGATCTAAATTAAGGTCCCTAGATTTAACAATTGAAGAATGCATAATAGCTGAAAATTTGGGGTCAGTTTTACAATCGCATTGTTAAAATATATGGACCTTAATATAGGTCAATTCCGCAAATTCGCCGATATGACATACACGTATATATATGCATTTTCGCCCGTATTATTTTCTAACCATCCTTTCATACTTTTGTTCTATTAGAATTGAACCTGCATTGTTGTAATACTCCCCCGATCCAGATAGTAATAGCGTCAAAATGTCAATACATAACCTATTTGAAGGGCAGTCAGAAAAAATTAACAGTTCATCAGAAATTACTCAAATAGCCAATAATGGTACTCAATCGTGTTTAGAAGATAACAAGTCACGAAATATTTCACAAGATAATGTTAATGAAACTGTTAATGAACTGTGCAATTTGTTTAATGAAGAAAGATTTAAAGGCTTCGATGTCTGTGCAACCCTCGACACATTAGAACAAATTTTAATAAAGAAAAAGCAAAATCCATATAATATTATTAATTTTTGTTTAAATGATCAAATCAATAATCCTGTAGTTCAACTTATTCTTGCATGTTGTTATCATTATGGTAAATGGGTTGAAAAGGATATACATAAGGCATTCATTTATTGCAAAAAATCAGCAGAGTTGGGGGACGCTTTTGGAATAAGTACAGTTGGGTCTTGTTATCTTTATGGAATTGGAGTTGAAAAGGATGCACATAAGGCATTAACTTATTTTCAAAAATCTGCAGAGATGGGGGAAGCCTTTGGATTATTTAGTTTTGGAAATTGTTACAGTCATGGAATTGGAATTGAGAAGGATGAACAAAAGGCTTTTCTTTATTATCTGAAATCTGCAGAGATAGGATTCTTTAATGGAATGTCAAGAGTTGCAGAATGTTATCGGAATGGAATTGGAATAACAAGAGATCTAGATAAAGCCAAATATTGGTATCAAAGGTAAATTTTAATTCGAGTTCAAATTTGCGCGGGTGAATTATGACGCATCACAGCCAATCAATAAGATCAGGTGTAATTAAATCAAAAACATGTTATATCAGAAAAGTCCCAGCGTTACCACCAATCGAGGGCGCAGTCAGATGATCTTCCGACCTATCACGTGATCACCGACATCAATTTTATACGAATAACGATTTAGCGATTTTATATGTTAAGCGAAAATATTTAATTCACAAGCATTATAGTGCGAACTTGATACATAAAGTTACGTACATTACAATGAAAAAGCATTACATTTTATAAAATAAATCAAAGTTTTGTACAGTGCATTCAACCTTATCCATAGAACTGTGTATTCTCATTACTATCCTTCCAAGTTCGTGGTAAAATATGCCTATTTTCATGCTGCAAAATATCTTTAATGAATTTTTCAAGCGGGCTTAGTTTGGACTCCATATTTTCAAGAAATTTTTGAGCGTTGTGCCTAATTTAATAAAAATTTATAAATACGTATATGAATTTTATTTAATAAAAAAAAGTAAATAAATATCTACCTCACTTAAAACTTGATATAGTCTTGCATGATTTTGTTCAATTCCGTCCATAATGCTATTACTTATTTCATAAATTTCACTTGCATTATTTATAGTAGGTGTATTAATTTCATTAATTGTAATAGAATTATCATTATTGATTAGATTTTCATGATTATTATCATTATAAAAATTGCAGATTGCATATATTTCTTTCCAAAGATTGGCTAATGACAATGAAATTAAGGGATATTTCGAATTGCGAAGCATCTAAATTAATATCAATATATGAGTAAATTCAAATCAGGTTTTAGTTATGTAATGTATTGTAATTACCCGATAAAAAAAAAGCATTTGGCTTTGAACCAATTGGGCGACCAAATGTTTGCATAAAAAAAACCTGTTTGTTGCGAAGTATGGACAGGAGCAAACCCAATTTCCATGGTTTGTTAAATATTTTCCAAGGTCACATTGCTATGATACTAGAGAATTCCATTCCTTTTGAACCTCTTTTCGCCAAGATGTTAGTTGACACCCATAACATAGTAATTTGAATGTATCAACTTTTCATGTAATAACCTAAATATACAAAAAAAGCCTATAAGTTAAAAAATGTTATAATGTTATATATTATAAATATATACCTTTTTAACAATTATAAAACATAAAAGGTCCAAACGAGGATGATTAAACTTGTAGAGATAATCTCTTTTCAAAAATCTCCAGTGAGATTCAACTATCATAGTTGTATGCAGAATTTAATTTCTTCAAATGAAGAGCATGCCCAGAGGCACCATTGTTTTGGGGAGTACCACTCACACCAAAGATACCTCCATACTATTATTATGGCAATACTGATACATTTTAGTAACACACTTGATCCAGATTGCTTGTTGATCGCTTACAAATATTTTATCTTCCTTTGGAATAAGCATGTGCCGATTAAAATGCTTTGTAATAAGGTTTGCAATATATACACGAGCTTCTTTATTAGCAAGTTAATAACCTAATTTTGGATTATTTACGTTTTCTTGATTTATTTCACTAAACATTGATGGAACTAGTTGCTATGAAAGATCAATTATAATACACTGTTTATACGCTTCAGCTGCATTATATCTTACAATTTGAATTTTGGCTTTTGATAATAATTTTTGCTTTATTGCGCGAAGAACATGCTATAAATACAATTGTACTTTAAGATTAACCCATGTAACTTTTGCTGCACTTATTTGAGATAGATCTTTATTCATATAAAAAATTTTTATATTTGTTAATTGTCATGCTTTCAATGCTGTAAACCATTTTGTTATTATACTAGTAATATCACAATTTTTGCCTTGTGATATAAATAGATAAGAAAGAGAAAACCCAGCACTATCTACAATTGCTATAGCTACATATAGCTCGTATTTATACTTGTTGGTGTTATATGTTGCATCTACTATTAGCTCTATTAATTTATTCAAAGGTAATATATCAGAGAAGGCAATTAAAAAAGCAAATGCATAATCTTCAAAAAAAAGAATTTTCTGATTTTGTTTTTGAAGAAAAGTTCTTGCAGAAATAAGCTCATTGTCACAATATTGGTAATCAGCTTGCACAATTGATAACCACCAGTAATAGACTTGTCTAATTGTTAATAGTTCAAATCCATTTATATGTTGCTTTTTAATTGACTGATAAATATTTGGAATGCTTTGTCCAATACATGAATTTATATAATCTTTAATTTCTTGAGTTATGTTGATCTTTTCTAATCGTGGATGTAAAATCTTATGAGATAAATTAACTGTTATGATATTTGAATAGAGTTTGACAGTAATTAAGCCTTTACATTCATAACGTTCAATATGTGCTTCACTATTGTGTTGTTTTGAAGTATCTGCAATTTTTTTGATATCTACACAAGTCCTTACAAGCATTACACCAGTATATTAATGTTGTAAATTTAGAGTTTTTACTATTGTAAATTTTATGATATACATAGGTATATCCATCACCATCGCTAATTGCATCAACTATTAGATTGGCAATACACTGATTTTTTCTTTAGTAATTTCAATTGGGATATTTTCATTAATAGAATATAGATCAATATCAAATTGAAGTTGAAAAGAGGTATGTCCTTCAAGGTTATTGTTCAAATTTTTATATTCTAAAAGTGCATAATAAATATGATTGGCAATATTGTTGAAGTTAATTGCATTTTCTTTTTCAATTATAGAATTATTAGCTTCTTGTCTCTTGCGTTTTTTTGCCTGTGAGGTATTGCTACGGCAAGATACACAGCGATTTCGAATGTCACTTTCACCAACAATAAAATCAGTATTTGGTCGAACACATTGGCACCTGGTGCAAGTTTTTGTAGAACTTTCGTTATCCATATTTTATTAAAAATAATATTTTTACCCTTAAAGGCAAAAAAAAAAAATCTGTAATATTAAACTACGTACAAACAATTTTTTATTTGTAATCACATACTATAACATAGTTACGTAATATTTTATGACGATAAAAATAAAAGTTTAATGTGAGATCGGAGAATCAGTATAGTCGGAATATCATGTGACTGCGCCCTCGATTGTGGTAACGCTGGATTTGCTCAAATATTGGTATCAAAGGTAAATATTAATTTGAGTTCAAATTTGCGCGGACGAATTATGACACATCACAGCCAATCAATAAGATCAGGTGTAATTAAATCAAAAATATGTTTATATCAGGGTTTGAGTTATAATATGCTAGGAATTATAACCTAAGAAATTTTAAAAAGTGATCTTTGTAGATTTTAAATTGTCAGGGTAAAAAATTACAACATTCATTCATTATATATCGGTAATATGTATTTATTAAATAATTTTATATTTAAATCGCTGATTAGGGAAAAAGATTTACCAATAGGTATTATTAATCATATTTAAATTATTAAAACCATTCATGATATTGTTTTTAACTTATTTATAATCTAAAATCGATGAATTTTATAAATATTAGGAGCAAATGAATGGATGAATAATTTAGAAATTGAGGATGACTTGAAAAAAATATTAATGGAAAGTAAATATCAATTACACATATTCAGACCCGTTGCACTTAAATTGCTTCATGAATCAAATAATTATCATAAAGAATTTATAAGAGAGGTATCTTAATTAAATATTTTATTTGTTATATTATTCAGAATTTATCATTAAAATTAACAATTTGAATATATATATCCTTTAATTATAAGTTAAAAACATATTGCGATATCGGTCTTAAAGATCCCACTTTTTTAAGATGTTTCGGTATATCAAAAGATAAAATTTCTAAAAATTATATTATTGTCATGGAATATGCTTTAGAAGGTTGCTTACGTAAAAATCTACATGCTATAGCACAAATGGATTGGAAAGATAGATTAAATCTGTTACAATGTATTGCTTCAGATCTTCAGATAATTCATTCTCAAGATCTTATTCATCGAGATTTACATAGTGGAAATATACTACAAAATAGCTTTAAAAGTGCATATATTGCAGATTTAGAACTTTCAATTACAGCCAATAGTGCATTAAAATCAAGATCTGACGGAGTTTATGGAATTTTACCATATATTGCTCCTGAAGTTTTAAACCAACATCCATATACTAAAGAATCAGATATTTATTCATTTGGTATAATCATGTGGGAAATTTTATACGGTAAAGTTGTTCCTTTAGAGCAAAAATCAGACTTACAATTCCAATTACAAGTATGCAATGGTCTTCGACCGCATATTTATGAAAATACAGCGATATGCTATGCAGATTTAATGAAGAAATGTTGGAAAATGAATCAAAAAAAGCGACCAACAGCAAAAGAAATTTATGATACTTTTGTAGAATGGCAGAATAGTGAAGATATTTTATCAGAATTATCTGAATCTGTTAAAAAACTAAAAAATACAACAAATAAAGATATGAAAACAGATATTGAATCACATTATAAAGGTAGATTTATTTCATTCAATAGCGGTTACAAATTTCAAGGTAATTATGAGCTTTGTTTGTCTAATGTATTGTATTATTCTATATTATAACATTGTTTGATAATTTTTTTATAGGCAGTAAACTACATGAATTGAAAATACCAGACATTTTGATTAATAAAAGTATCCCTCATAGTTTTGTAACAAAAAATATGCATAGAGATTAATCTTTACCGATACCAAACTGATAATAAAATAATAAAAATTTGAATGTACCGGTTTTGTAGATTCTCATTAATAGATTAAAAACTAATTCTTCTATTCATATAAATACAGTTGAACCTCCCAAAACCGGTATGCATAGTGGACAGGTATTGTATCAGTATTAAGAGATTATTGGATTTGAAATCATTATAAACTATTTGATTCATATAGCAGAAACCGACTTGGTAGATGAATATTTTATCAGATTTGACAGGTTATCGGATTTAACTGGATCGGTTTTGGGAGGTTCACTGTATTAATTTTTTGCGTTTTGTAGTGAATATCAAAACTCTGAATACAATTTTTAAATAGATTTTATTTTGTAATGCATAAAATTTACATCTGACAATACTACAATCAGTAAATGCTCATATATTTTAGATGGGCATTGCTATTACCCAATATGTAAATATAGATTTTTGCTGAAACAATCAACATTCTCAAGTATTATGCGTCATTTTAATAAAATTTTAAGTCTAATGAGATGTGTTGAGAGCGGGAAAAATTGTTTAGCCGCGTTGTCAATCTAGATCAGAGGTCCAAAAAATTAATTAATATGTTAATTTGTAACTAAAATTTTAAATTTGAGCCGAATTTTAGCTTAATTCATAAATTTATCGTGACGGGTTTTAAATATATCGATATAAAAAATGGTAGTAATACACGTGCTAAGTATAACTTACCCATAAGTACGTAGCATGATTAGAGTTCCGAGAATTTCTTGCCATAGATAAAAAGCTGTTTATTTTTGAAGTGATACGAACCAAATAAAATTAAAAATGGAAACTACATTATGTTGAATTGATATTGGATTAATGTTTGATATTTGTATCGATATCAGTGACTCGGAGTAACAATCTCTTTCACAGCCACAGTCATTCACATTCCTGAGATTTTTCCGTGTTTGTCGTCATCGGTGACTGAAAATGCACGTCTGTAATTTGTGACAGGTTGCGCCACTGATATAAATTAACTTTCAGATTATAACCCAGCGTCTTTTACAAATAAATATATTCGTGTAAATTTTATATGCAATGCATTAATCTCACATTAATATGAGTGACGCCAAGGGAAAATGGGACTTCAATCATATAAATTTTTATGTGATCGAAGTACCGACTACCCTTGGCGTTATTCATATACACTATTTTGGGGGAAATATAGTACCTCGTTGATGTTCACAAATTTCTATCTAATTAAACAAATACATTAGCACGAACCATTCGGAAACAGCATGTAGTATTCGGAAATAATGCTACAAATATTTCGGTTAATTTAAGATTTGTAATCTCGGAATGTCATATTAGGTTAGGTTGTATCACTTCAATAATATGACCTTGTGGACGTGAACGACCCAAAAAGTTACTTTTTTTGATAGGCCTAAAATTGAGGTGGCATTTTGATGCATTATATTATTATAAAATTTAAAATTTTCAAGTTTGAGTAAAGATGTCTCGATGAACGCCCAACTAAATTCAACAAAATTTTTTATTTGATTTTCAGTTTTGTTGAATCAAAATAAAAAAATTCATCGAATTTGGATGGGTGGTCGTTGAGATATCTTCACTTAAAATTTTATATTTTGCGTGATTATTTTTGATAGGCGTTGAACGATGTAGAATTGTAGGTAATAATAATCACGAATTATAATCATTTAGTATGAAAGCACATTCTTCAATACTTTTAATATGAATGTAAATGCTTAAATGTTTATCCATAATCATGCATTTAAAGCAGACCTTTAAACCTTAATAAAGAGGGAGGACAGCGAGATTTCTCGAAGCCCTTCATTAATAACATGCTTTTGTATACATTTTTACTTTTAACTATCAATGCTAAAGTATGCATATGCGCCCGTCGCTCTCCCAACCAAGATGGTAACAACATTTTAATGCTTTCAATACTTTGAGCGAAAATATCTCAGTAATTACCTAGCCAAATTTTAGCGTTTTTTTTTATATTGATTCTACAGAAATGTAGAACAAAGTAAAAAAAATAAGCTTTATCAAATCCAATGAGTGACTATTCGCTCAAAGTTTTATAAAAATCCGACAGCAATAATTTTAATAGACGTTTTAATGTTTTCAAAACTTTGAGCGAAGTTATTTTAGCAATCATTTAGCCAAATTCGATTGATTTTTTTTTGATTCTAAAGATCTGTAGCAAAAAAAATTCATTGAATTTGAAGGAGATACCTTTGCTCAAATTTGACTGCGGCTATTATTTGATAGACGTTTCAATGTTTTTAAACTTTGAGTGAAGATTACTTGGCAACGATCCATTCAAATTCGATAAATTTTTG